GAAGTATGTAGGTTAGTTTTAAGAAAGGAGAATCAAAGGTTTATGCACATTATGTGTCAACTTATTACAAAAAAAGATAGCTATAGTAGATTGTGATTAATACGAAGAAGAAATTAAGAACTGGCATGATATGTGAGTATTGTGGGAAAATTAGGCATACTAAGGATAGATGCTACAAGTTGATTGATTTTCCTATAAAATTCAAGTTTAGTATAAACAAATTCACAAACTCAACTAATTGTACACGTCGGCATATAGTCAACACTATGACTGGCAATGTGATCGGCATAATGGAGTCGAGAGAATGGCATTGGTGATTCACAGATTTCCTTAACTAAAGATCAATATCGAAACTCATGGTTCTTTTGAATGAGAAAAGCTCATTAATGTTAACTCAAAACTCCCTAGCCTCAACTTCCTCAACCTCAACTATGATACCTATCAATCCTTACTCGGTTTTCAATGTTGTAGGTAACATTTATAGTCCAACCAATTTATCAAAAACTCATACATATAAACATATCTAGATCGTGGACACTAGTGCCACAAATCACATTATGTCTTCATTGGATTTGTTTGACTCTTACTATAATGCTAATAACATGTTTGTGTGATTACCAAATGGTAATAAAGCTTTTAAATATAATCTTTAATCGGTAGACAAACTCACTATATCTAAACACTTTGGACTGATCTTTTTGGAAATAATTATCTCATTCGGGACCATCATTCCTAGACAATGATTGGACTTGCTAAACTCAATTTAGGTTTGTTTTTGATACAATATAAAGTGCATGATCAATCTTCAATTTCCATTGCTTGTTCATCTACAACACAATTTGCCACCAATAATCTTGCTGACGAATCTTTTGATTTGTGGCATTTTAGGTTAGGACATACTTCAGTCGATAAAGTTCAAACTTTACGGTAATGTCATTCTCAAATTCATTATAAATCATCTTTTCCTTGTAATGTTTATCCCGGAGATAAACGAAAAGATTACCATTTTCCATTCATGTTAGAAACACTATCAAGCCTTTTGAACTTGTTCATATGGATATTTGGAGTCCATATTTAATTCCTCATATAGGTGGTTTCGTTATTTCCTTATAATTGTAGATGATTTGATAGGAAATACTTGAATTTCTAATCGAACTAAAGTCGATGTTTCTCATCTTTTACTTGTCTTTTACAATTTAATAAAAGTCTAGTTTAATTTCAATATTCTTCATATTAGATCCAATAATAGTTCAGAATTTAATCTTACTTGAATTTTATCAATTTAAGTGTGTTATCCATAAAAAAATCTTGTGTTGAAACACCACAACAAAATACAATAATGGAAAGGAAGCATCAACATCTACTCGTTGTGGCAAGATCTTTTCTTTTTCAAGCATCTCTCCCTATCAAATTATGGGGAAATGCAATTCTAACTACTACATATATAATCAATAGACTTCTTAGTTCTATCCTATATGAATTTTTTTCTTCCATAAATCTCTAAATTATGGTCATTTTAGAGTGTTTAGATCATTGTGTTTTGCTTGCATTCTTTCTTATAACATGAAGAAATTTGATTCATGGGCTAGGAAGTATATTTTCATTGGATATCCTATTGGAATAAAAGGATACAAACTTATGATCTTTAAAATCATTCTACATTTGTTTCTAGAGATGTTGTATTTCATGAACATGTTTTTTCCTATTCTATACGAGTCTTTAAAACATAATTTTGCTACTAACTCTTTGTGAGAATCAGTTTCATTCTTTAATTTCTCAAAAATAGTATCTATGCATAATGTCTTCAATCATTTGGATAACAATATCTCTCCTTCATCATCTATTTCACATAGTTCAAATTATAATTCTTCTCTTATTCAATCCGATAATGATAATATTGATAATATTCATGATCGGATTGATGATCAATCCAATATTACATCATCTTCTTCTATTGAAATTACTCCCGTAGTTCCATCTATTTTTACTCTGATTGTCCCATCTACCGATCAATTTGTACCAACATTGATAAAAATTTCTAAAACTTAAACATTACCTACCTATCTCAAAGATTATGAACATAACCTTAGTCATTTAGTGTCTTTTACTTGTCGAACATCATTATGTATCTACCATTCATTTATCCACATTTAATAAGAAATTCAAAAAAATTTTAGTTTCCATATATGAACCCCAAACTTATCATCAAGTTGTGAAGTTTGCTCATTAAAGAGAGGCCATGCAATTTGAAATTAATGTTTTAGAGGAAAATCACATATGGGACATATGAAAGGTAATGCCTCGACCAACCTGGACAATATTCAATTGGTTGCAAATGGGTATGTCAAGTGAAATTGAAGTTTGATGGACATATTGAAAGGTATAAAGCTCGATTAGTAGTAAAAGAGTACAATCAAAGAGAGGGTTTTGATTTTTAAGAAACATTTAGTCCTATGGCTAAACACATACTGTCGAATTTTTGTTAGTACTAGTAGTCGTTCATAAATGGCATCATATTAGTAATGCTTTTCTTGATGTTGATTTGCTGTAGACTCGTTTATATAGATCTGTTTTTGGGTTATCATTTGCAGGGGGATGTTCGCCTAACTCAAAGATGGTTTGTAGGTTACATAAATCATTATATGGATCGAAGGAGGTCTGCTAGACAGATGGAATTGTAAGTTCACTAATGCATTCTTAGAATTTGGTCTTAGTCAATCAAAGTCCGATTCATCGTTTATTTGTACAAAGTAAGAGAGACTTATCTATGTAGATGACATAGTTATATCTATGTTATTACGAGAGTAAGATGGATCGTGGAATTACTTTGCTTGTCTAGACAAGTGGAATCGTAAGTTCATTAATGCACTCTTAGAATTTAGTCTTATTCAATTAAAGTCCGATTACTCTTTATTTGTATAGAGTAAGAGGGACTCGTTTTATTGCTTTGCTTGTCTATGTAGATGACGTAGTTATATCTAGTAATTCTATACATGAGGTTGACGATTGAAACAATTTCGACATCTAAGTTTAAGCCGAGAGATTTAGGCAATTTAAAATATTTTCTTGGCATTGAAGTAGCAAGATCAATAAAGGAAATATCAATCTGTTAGAAAAAATACACTATACATTTGTTGAAGAAGTATGGTTTTGATGGTTCTAAGCCAATTTCCACACCTATGGATCGAATCATAAGTCGTCCAAGGTAGGGAATAATGAATTGGTAGACTCTCCCGCATATAAAAAGCCGATGGCAAAGTTATTGTATCTCACCTTTACTAGATCCGATGTAGCTTATGCTACATATGTGTTATCTTAATTTCTTGATAAGCCTATAGGACAACATATGCAAGCAACTCATAGAGTGCTCGAGATATTTGAAGAATACTCCAAGTTAGGGTTTGTTATTTCCATCAAATTTAGAGATACATCTTAAAGCTTACTCGGATAATGATTGGGAAAGCTACCCGGACATAAGGAAATCGATCACTTGGATGCTACATTTTCTTTGGGATTCACTTGTTAGCTAGAAATCAAAGAGACAATCATTCGTCGCCGGATCATCAACAAAGGCAGAGTATAGATAAATGACTTCTATAACTTGAAAAATTGTTTGGTTACTCATCACTCGTCGTCGGATTTTGGACATTCAAATGTTTAACCAATAGCTTTACATTGTGATAATATGTCACCTCTACATATTTACAAGAATCTAGTTTTTCATGAAAGAACAAAACACATAGAGATTGATTATCATTTTATGAGGGAAAAGGTCTCGACATTATTCATCAAGCCGAATTCATTTGGACACAAGCATAAATTGCAAACATCCTTACCAAAAGTTTACATCCAAGGCAGTTTCGGTTTCTCTTAAGCAAGATGAACGTCATCAACATATTTGCTATTGCTCATCTTGAAGGGGAATGTAAAGAGGAAAATTACTTAGAGGTTAGTTAGTTTGTTAGGAGAAGTTAGTTAGTATGTTAACCGATTTAGTTAGTTTATTAAGTTTAACTAACTATTAGTTAGTTAGTTAAATAAGTTTAATTAGTCGGTTTAGTTAGTTGATGTGTTAAGTATAAAAGGTATACTCGTATTCATTTTTTGAAGTAAAAGGAAGAAAGAATAGTTTCCATATTCTTTTTCTCTTCTCGACTTCTCTGTTTTACTTGTAACTTTTCATTTTTCTACTTCATTTTTCTAAAAGTAATGCAAATCACAAAATCATTCCAGTTGTGCAAGACAACTACCCTTTCTCAAATTGGTTGATGATGGTAGGGAAGGGTAGCTTTGGTGATTCCGGGATAGGAGGATTTGGATGCTACCATTTTTGCATTAGAGGGTGCAACTGTGGCCCTTACATATGTGAAAGGTGTGGAAGAGAAAGATAAGGATGAAAGATAGGAGATGTTATGAGAAGCGAAGGAAAGTGATGCAAAAGATCCTATTGCTATAGCTACGGACCTCGGATTCTTGAGAATTACTGGAGGGTTGTTGATCAAAGAGATCGTGAACATGGCCGGATTGATATTCTAGTGAATAATACAACCTTGCTCGCTTGTAAAGATAAAGTAATTCATGTAAATGCCGTGGCCCTGTGTCTAGTCCGGACGTCATTGCAGCCTCGCAATATCTATGCCCGAGTGATAAGGTCAAAATCTTAGCTTTATGAGATTGCACCTTCTTATGTCTTCTAGGCATGTGATCACCGTTCTTCCTATTTCACTTGCTTGTAGATAAAGTAAACAGCTGACTTTTATCTCTTGCCTTATCTTTCTTCAATTTGTAATCATGTCTCTTCATCAATAGTACCGAAACAAAAATGTTACTCAAACCCAAAAAAACCCATGACAAATGGCTATGAAAGTCATAGAAATAACAAAAAATACCACCCAATATAAATATTTTTTTTATGTCTATATAAATAATAAATAAGTGAAATTCATTGTTACTTTTTCCCAACACTTTTAATGTCTTAGTAATAATAATAATTACAATGTCTAGGCATAAAGGTCGGGTGGCAAACGCGGTGAGAGAAGAGCTTCGAGTGGGGTGGCTTTGAGGTTTGTTAATCCAAAGCTCTCGATCATATCAATCGGTGCATTTTCCGGAGTAGAAATTTGAAATCTTTGTAAAAAAGTAGCCAATGTTAGATGAACCATGTGGAGGCCAAGAGAGATTCCTAGGCATGCCCTTCCGCCACTTCCAAATGGGATTAACTCAAAATTTTTACCCCTAATATCGACATCCTTATGCGTGGTAAGAAATCTCTCCGGCTTGAATTCCAATGGATTTGGCCATATACGAGAGTCCCTTTGAATTTTCCAGTTGTTCACTAAAAGCCGGGTGCCTTTTGTGACATGGTAGCCACCGATAATGCGATCCTTATAGAATTGGTGGGGTGCTAAGAGTGGTGCTGGTGGATATAACCTTAATGTTTCCTTAACTATGGCTTGGAGATAGACTAGGTTACTAATATCCGCATCATTCACTAGTCTTTCCACACCTACGCATCCGTCTAATTCTTCTTGGACTTTTACCGGTACGTGCCTGTTGTTTAGCAATAGAGACAAAGCCCATGTCAAAGTAACCATGGTGGAGTCGTCGGCCCTCGCAATCATAACTCGTCAAATGAAATTCATGTTAGATTAAATAATGAATAGGTTAAGAAGCATTTTTATGAAAGTTCGGGGACATACTTCGTTACTAGTAGAACACATATCCTACAATGAATAATTAAATAAAAAATAATTGATATATAAAGTTGAGAAGGAATCATCCAACATAACGTTTAAGTTTTTTGGATGAAATTCAATTTTAACTATCTAACTCTATATAGTATCAAAGTCTCAAAAAGACTTAATCGAGGCCAAGCTACTTGACAGATCGTAAAATATAGGCTACAAACGAGGAGGAGTGTTATAACACATATTCCACATTGAATAGTTAAATAAAAAATAATTAATATATAAGGTTAAGAAGTGACTATCCACAATAAGGTTTAAGTCTTTTGGATGAAACTTAATCACAACTATTTAAAGTTACATAATAAATAAATAAATATATTAGAAATTAAGATAGATAAAAAATTTTAACTTTTTATCTTGATGATTAAAAAAATTATACATTAAAATCATGATACCATCTTAATTTCCCATGGATAGCAGGTGTGGGTATATACGGGTCAAAGGGGAGATTTAAGTATAGTTTCTCTAACAAATCGGATATGGAGCAGGTATTATAACATATTTATTAGTATGCCTTTTCTTCTCTTCGCCAATTTTGGTATTTCAGTGTTAATATTATTTGTCCTTTGACTTGAAAATTATTTACGAATTCCACTATTATGTGAAAAAAAAAGTACAATTTTTACAGAAAAATTCCTTCGATAAATAAAAAAGAGTTATTTCCATTGACAATTATTTTATTTTATGATGACTAGATGGTATTTTTTTAGTAAACTTTTAGAAAAAAAATTGATTGAAACTACCTTTCAGGTTGAATATACAAAATAAAGATTGAAAAATATGGTCAGAGCAGAACTTTATTGCTGATATTTTTTTTTTAAACGAAGGTTTGAGACTTGAATAAAAAAAATTAAGATTGAACTTTGATATCTAAGAAGGAAGGACACCTGCTTTAAAATAGAATTTATAATTGTTATGATGAGAAATTATTAGGTTTATAGGAAGTTGTATTCCCCTATCTCACAAAAATACAGACTCCACCATGAAAATAATTCATATATGGGGTGCTATGAGTTTAATTTTGGTATCATGAAGAATTCTTCTGGTGTTAAAATTTTAATGTTACAGAAGCCTGATAGGATTTTTGGAATCAGTAATCTAAAAAACAGGAGGTTTATGATTCTGAAAATTATTTATGAATTCCGCTATTATGTGAAAAAGAAAAGGTATTATTTTTGATATACCGAACAATTCCTTGGATAAAAACAAAAGTTATTTCCATTGACAATTATTTTATTTTATGATTACTGGATAGTATTTTTTTATTATAAAAACAATTAATTAAAACTACCTTTCAGGTTGAATAAAAAAATAAATAAAGATTGAAAGATGAGGGAATTAAACTTACTAAGGATGTGGCTTTGTTTACTGTATCGGCATCATAACCTGCAAGATCAGTGCCTGGAAGGACCGAAAGCATAACGTCCATGAAATCTTGCTCTGCTTGATCAACCTCGCCTAAAAGCCTTTTTCGCTTATGCTCTTCCAACCATTCCTCCAGAATACTGTCTATTTCTTTTGCAGTTTTCTTCATGGCTTTCTCATGCCCACCAATATCCAGCCACCCAAGAAAAGGTAGAGCGTCCCTCACAACAAAAATCCCTAAATACTCTAAAAATTTCCTCACAGCCTTCTGCCACTGCTGTGCTTTAATTTTATCATCATCACCCACAGCACTACCATAATACCTCTTCCCTGCAACCGTCCTAAGAATCGCATTTAGAGTTAAGCCCGAAAACCATTGCTTCAAATCAACAACAACATCGCCTGAGCCATTCTTTTTTCATCCCAATGCGCGTATAGCTCTTTTAAAGATGTTTCCACTTCATGAATCCTGACATCCTTCAGTTGATTAAGCCTGCGGTTTGATAGTAATTCTGAAGTGGCTATTTTGCGTATTTCACGCCAGTATGGACCTTGTGGAGCAAAAGCAAACATGGCGAAGTTGTAGCCCAAGTATTTAGCTGCTGTAAAAGGTGGCCGAGAGCTCACAGCCGGATCGTTGATGGTGAACAATTCCTTGGCCAATTCCCAACTGCTAACTATCAAAGTTGGATTCACCCCAAGCCTTACAGTGAAGATTGGACCATACCTGTCAGCTGTGGCTCCTAATGTTTGGTGGAGAAGCTGAGAGCCTGCTAAGAGTTGGTGGTGGCCCAATATAGGCCATCCACCTGCTGGTTCAGGTGCCCTTTGGCTCTTGGTAGCTCTCCACTTCTTTGTCACATGGTAGCAATAGATAAGAACAAGGACCAAGACACCCGTTACGGCAGTATTAAGATGTGGAACTGTGCCAGAATCCATCCCCAACTGATAAGATTAGAGAAGGAGTGATCAGAAAGAGATATCTTTGATTAACTGAGGGAATTGCCAGAATCCTCCCTATCAGTTGCATGTGTGAGGAGTTTGGAAAGAGAGTTTGACGTTAATTCAATCTCTACATAAGTTACACTTGGAATAATTATAAATTATTCGTTAGCTGCGTTAATTATTTTTTTTTATTTTAAAAAACTAATTATTTAATTTTTATATTTTTAAAATTTTAATTTATTTTAATTTTTTATTTTAAGAAATTAAAAAAATATGAATTAAAAAATATAAAAAGATTACTGATAAAAAAATATTTTGTGAAATAACAATAATATTAAATTAATTAAACATAGTTAAATACTAGTAAAAAAAACTAAATAATAATTTTAAAACAAGAAAAATTAATTAATTGGTTTTTGTTATAAAATAAATATAAATAATAGGAGAATTGAAGAAAATGATGACAAGAAAATGAAATCACTATAATGTGAATATAAGTGATAAGAACTTCAAAGTTTTTCTTATTTTCTGCAGGAAACTTGTACACTAACTAATGAACAATTAAGCCTATTTATAGGCTTCAAAATTGAGAAGAGAATTGGAAGGGACTATGAATAATCAATTGCATCACCTTTTCAATTTCTCATATTGAATGATGAATTGAATCATATTAAGAATCATGAGTAGTGGGGATATAAAAAGTGGATCAACATGATGATAGACATTCGTTATTTCATAACACTCCCTCTTGAATGTCCATTGTACAAGGAACATGCCTCATTAAAACCTTACTAAGAAAAAACCCAAGTGGGAAAACCTTACTAAGAAAAAACCCAAGTGGGAAAAAAATCCTAGTGAAGGAAAAAGAGTACAATATTCCTTGCACACATTAATCCCTATTTTTGTCTCCCCTGTTTAAGACATTATTTAAGATCTCTAAAATGATGCATTCCAATCTTGTGAATCATCTTCTTAAAAGTTGTGGTAGGTAACACCTTACCGAACAAATCGCAGGATTGTCACTTTAATATATTCTTCCTTTAATGGAACTATACAAGCAGCATTATCCTTATATGATATTGTTGGAACTTCTTTTGCTGATAGATAAATATTGTTGGAACTTCTTTTGTTGATAGATAAACCGCTTGTCTCTCGAATATGATGGATCGTTGATCTTAGCCAAACACATTCTCGACTTACCTCGTGAATTGATATTTCGCATGATTTAAAGATGTGACAGCTATAGTTTGCTTTGTAGAACACAAAGATATAGCTGGATCTCCATATGTAAATATATAACCAAGTTGTGATTGAGTTTATGTAGATCGGATAAATAACCTACATTTGCATAACCAATTAATCTTGTCTTTGATTTATTGAAGTAATATAAGCTCATATCAATTATTCCTCGAAGATAATGTAGTATATATTTAACTTTATTTCAATGTCTCTATATTGAAACAAAATTATGACTTGCTAACAAATTTATAGAAAAGACTATATCAAGTCGAGTATTATTAGCAAGATACATCAATGCACCAGATGGCACTAAAATATGAAACTTCGGGACCAAGTAGTTCTTCGTTATCTTCTCAAGGTCGAAAAGGGTCTTTTTGGATATCAAGTGAATGAACTACCATTGGGCTCGTCAATGAATGATCTTTATATAGAATCATTGTAGAATCTTTTTCGATATAAATTGATCGATGAATAAAAATCTTATTTTCTCGAGTGCTCGAACTACGAGTCGAGATAACATTTTGTTTTTCAAGATATTCACATCAAATTCTCTTTTTAGGTAACTTATGATACTTGAAATCTCTTCGGTAGTTCCAATAATATTTAAGTTATCAACATATAAAACAAACCCCTTTTCAAATAAAAACATATGAACAAATAGGGTTATTTTCTATAACTTTTTTCAACAAATAATCATTGAAGTGATTATATCACATGCACATGCGTTAGTAATAAATAGTAGATATAAAAATAAAATATAAAAAGTATAAATTGAATTTCTAAAAACCAAAATAATAAAATAAATACTAAAATAATCCTAATAGAGATCTCTATAATTTAATTGAATTCTTTTTTCGAGGATATGTATTACATGCTTCGGCATGTTAAGTCCTTCTAGGACTTTCATACCGATATCATTTCAAAAGAACAAATAAACCGTAATCACATTCATTAAATATATACATATGAATGTTTTTCATACATTTTTCCAAGCTAATGAGATAACAAAAGACAATTGTATCTACTATAGAAGAATATGTCTTCTCATAGTCAATGTCAATTCTTTATGAAAACTTTTGTGTTAAAAGTTTTGCTTTGTATCTTATAATCTCATCTTTCTTATTTCATTTTCACAAAAATACATATTTATATCCCACTAGCTTAACATCTTCGAGTGTTTTAGCTATGGGTTCAAAAAACTATTTTTTTATAAAAGAACATAATTCTGCCTAGATTGGTCTTTTCATTTAGGTCAATCATCTTTATGTCGACATTCTTCAATAATTTAGGCTCGGAATCCTTATTTTCATCCATAATATCAATTG